GCATTCTTTATTTTTATTGGAGGATGGTCAAATTTTTGGATGTGGTTATGGTCAACATCTTATTGATGATAACAGACAAAATGCCTTTGTGCCGACAAGATTACCAATTAAAAATGTACAAAGTGTGGTTTGTCGCAATGAGGATTCTTTTTCATTGGCTTTGGATCAATCATCAAATTATTATGTTTGGGGCTACTTGCAAAATGAAAAGGTGATCCCGCTCAAAAAAATAGAAGGTCAACCGGAATCATTTGTCGCTGCATCAGTAATGATCAATAAATCACCAATCACGTATGGCCTGACATCAACAATCCATGTGTTGGAATCGAATGATGGAATTTCATTCAGTAAATATTTGAATAATCCGGATAATTATGATGTCGAGTTTGTTATCCAAGACAAACGTGTATTGGCCTCAAAGTGTTACCTGAAAATGGCATCTGAATATTATAGTCGAATGTTTTCAGGAGATTGGTTGGAAAATAGCAAAGTGGTCATCAAAGATTACAGTTATCATGTCTATTACTCTTATCTAGTTATGTTACATACAGGTCACATCCGAATCGATCAATCCAATATAGCCCAACTTGTTGATTTAGCCAATTGTTATGGTGAGCAACGATTAATGAAACTTTGTCGAACATTCATACGAAACAATTTGAATGAACAAACTATATCCATCTATTATCCGTTGATTTACCGATATCAACTTGATAAGGATGATGAGGTGCATGACAAACTCGTAATGCTAACAATCAAATATGTGTGGCCCAAAAAAGCTGACAAGCTTGCCAAAAACAAAACCAAAATGTCCAAATTTTTAGAATTGGTTTTTTTCGATCAATAAACTTATGAACAAAAAATTTTTTGAATTTAATTAATAAATTTTATTACATATAGTTGGTTGGAATATTTAATTTGAATGCAAACCAACTCGAAAATACTTGTTGATTTTTGAACGTCGTTTATGAAACACGTCAAAAAGCTCAAGCTTGCGTTGAAAAGAGCATGTTGAAAATGAAATTGTCAATTGTGAACTTGACTTTGCAGTGTAAGCACGTTGTCAGAGTGATGATGAAATGAAAACTTGTTGTTTTTGTAAAACATCGAATTAAGAATTCTTTTTTGTGTGATTATTCTGCTACGAATTAGACTAATTAATTGTGATATAAATGAATGAATGTTTATTAATTAGAAGTTTTTTGATAAGTTTTCCAAAAAATAGCTTTTTTGTGAATTTTCCTTTTGATGTTGATCATTTCATCATCGACTCAGTTTGTTTTCGAATTGAGTTTTTGAAAAAGTGCTAAATCATTCCCCAAAAAATAAAGACGATGGAATTGTTTTGTTACAAATTCCCCTGGTTAACTGTGATTCGAATAAATGTTTGTTGATAATTGGAATTTCGAAACAAGTTTTCGAAAAAGTTTTTTTCTAAATTTTCCTTTTTGTGTTCAGCACGCGCATTTCATCAT